ACAATAGTGAGTGCATGTGTTGTGATTATAATTATGTGAAAAAAATGTGTATGTGGACAAATATTAGAAAGAATATCATAAAACAAAAACAATTATTGGGCAGATGAAAGGTTTTTCTTTTCTGAAAACCAGTGTAGTTATATTACTTTTATAGCAGATACAATTTGAAATAAGTCTCACAAGCTTTACTTGCTTCAAAGGTAGGTGTGCTTAAGAATTATCTGAGGAGCTTTTTAAGTGAAGATTTCTGGATTCTAGCCAGAGAGACTGTGATTCTATACTTCTGAGGAATGGCTGCATTTTTAACAAGCATCCTAGATCACTTTGCAGGAAGTGGCACACTGACCACATTTGAAAAAAAACACTGTCCTAGCTAGTGTTTCAGAGATACCTAAAAAAAAAAAAAAGACAGTTGAGATATTATCTGTGCCAAAGTAGCTCATGTTTTGTGTTGGGCTAAAGACTATGGCCAATATTCCTCTACCTTTGCTGGGGAAAACATCAAGAAAGTTTAAAATAGGGAAGCCTGAGTGGCTCAGTGGTTGAGCATCTGCCTTCTGCTCAGGGCGTGATTCCGGGGTGGGGGGATTGAGTCCCACATCGTTACTGCATGGAGCCTGCTTCTGCCTCTGCCTATGTCTCTGCCTCTCTTGAATAAATAAAATCTTTTAAAAAACGAAGAAAGTTTAAAACAAAGACTCCATCCATATTAACAAAAATTCTTTCCCTATCTGGATTAGAAAATGAGATATCACTAAAAAGTACAGCGTTGATTGCTTCTCTTTTAGTCTTCCAAGTAAATGTGAAGGTGTCTGATTAAAACAACACAGGTATTAATAGCTACACATCTCCAGTTTCTCTTACAGTCCCTACACATCCTGGAATTTACCCTCTCCCCACACCTTTCTATTAAATCTGACATAAGTTGGACTATGCTCTGCCTTTGTGAGAGAAGCGTCATAATTTCAAACTCTAGATTAGAATAGTGCAGTCTGCATAAGCCAGCCCTCTGGATGATTCTATACTCATTTTATTCAATTGGGTGACCAGCTTATCTCCGTTTGCCCAGGACTTTTTTGATTTTAGCATTGAAAAGTCCAAGTTCTGGGTCTCCCAACCCCACAATACTAGACAAACTGGGACTGTTCATCACCTTAACCTTTCCATTGCCTATGACCTATATAATTAGGTATAGCTGAAAAGACATTCTCCAGGCTGGGTTTGTCAGCCTCCACAGACAGTGTCTCAGGGAACACAGGCAAACACTTAGCTTTTTTGAAGATATTCCTTTGAAAAAGAAGACATGTAAGATGCTGTTCATTATTTTTAGAAATAAAACATTTCTCTGAAGTGGTTTCAGGAAAGGAGCCAGAGATATAAGGGTCTAGCAAATAGAACTCCCAACCTCCCTATAAGCATTTATCACCCAACTAGTGAAAAGTTTACTAAGATTTGTGTATGTTAAACTCATCAGAAGGGAGACAGGTAAGGTTGAGTCAAGTAGTCAGAATGCAGACTATAGAGACAAAGGGTACATATCTGTTTAGAGGATGTGGAATTTTTCATCAAGTAGAATTAGATAGAATGTAACTCCTTATACACTTGTTTTTAGGAAGCTGATTTTATTTCCATGCCTTTGGAATTTTTCTAAAATTCAAAAAGTTTAAATGATTCAGAACGCTAAAAATATGATGTGCCTTAGCAGTCTGTTCTAAAATGTAGGCCAGAAATTTTTCAGAATTACTCTGCCCACATCAAAATTATACTATTTTAAAATATTGCAAGTAGTTCATAGAATCCCCAGAATTTCATTTCAACTTCACTTCCAAACTACAACTTTCACTCTTGGCTCAGGAATAATCCAATCCTACTGACAGCTGGTTTACACTGTGGAAAATATACTTGTATGGGAATTTAGCACATTTGCCCACTTGAATTCTTGGATACGATATCAACTTCCATTAAAAAGCCAGTTTAGTAGAGAAAAGCAACTTACAACTAAAAGTTTCAGGTCTTCACTCTTTTAAATTATCAGATACTTAGGGCCAAAAATTAAAAAAAAAAAAAGTTTATTTAGCCACTGCCTTCTTTCAATAAAGGATTTAAGGTGATCAGTGCAGGAAACCATACATGAAGTCAGCAACTGAAAACCAAAGCTACCAGCTATAATTGTAGCATTTTCCAAAGTGGATTCTGTGAGATATTAGTAGACACTGTTAAAACAAAAAAAGGGAGTCTCAAGCCAGTACGTTTGGGTAGCACTGAGATAATTGTTAAACATGATTCTTTACTGTAAGACTTTTGAGAACCTTTACAATGATAATGGGCATTCACACTCCACGAGGGAGGGGGAATAGCATGTGTTTCCCAAACTTAAATATTGTCAGAATATCTAAAATGTTTGAGTTCCAACTAACATATTTAGAGAAACAGTGCTCTTGCCTTTCTAAATTTGATAACTAAACTCCTTGAAAACTGGGATTAAATTTATTTTTGTTTTATTTTCACTGAAAACAGTTTTTCTTAATTTGTAATTAGAGAAGCTTTGTTCAAAGCATAGAAAAGTTTGACATTTAAAACATATTGACAATTCCATACACTCTTAAAGAAGGCTACTCTTATTACAAATATTACCTCTGATTTACAATAAGAACAAACAAGGTAATGAAACCTATTAGAAAGTTCTTGTGACTTCAAGCTCAGAGAATTTTACTCTGATGACTTGGAGAGGCAGATGAATTAATGCCAAGGGGGCAGGGCTTTGTTTAGTCTGTAGATTTCTAGTTAAAGCCAACTGTGATTTAAAGATCTATAAATGAGCAGATATGAGCATTTGTAGCTAGGCATGCTTATTTGCAATTGGGTTTCTTTTCTACCTAAGAGCTACCCATATTTTCCAGCCCAAATTATACTGTGGATCTGTATAGAATCTGAAACTCTTGACTTGTGATCCCAGCACTGTTGCCCATCCTCAACAGCTATTAAGTAGAAGGAAGGAAGGAATTGGTTGGTGGTGCAGGGCTAGCCTGAAGATAGGTAGTTAGGAAACACTAAACTATGCTCTGCAACGTTGTGCTGCCTTACAAAGGGATTTTCCCAACCAATTTGTCTGTAAGAATAAAGTCTGTCATCAAAACCCAGTTTAGTCACCATGGTGTTATTAAAATGAGATGGGATAAAATGGATCAAACTGCCACACACATTTTTTCTTCATGATGTAAACATCAATTGTGAAGACAACCAGATGTTGCTTTAGTTCCAACATGAGGTTACACGTTTGCTCTCTCCATAAAGAAATTCAAATATTGCTCTTTAACCACATTGAAATGACATTGCACGGAGTAATAAAAGAATATAAAAGATGAAAATAAAATTTTTATTGGGAAGAGGAAATATTACATACAATTAAGTATATGGCTGATGAAATGTATGAACAACCTTTTCTTAAGGAACAAATACAGACTTAGTAAAGGAAGAAGTTGGAAGCTTAGGTTTCCAGAGAAAATGTCTAAGCAGTTTTAAGTAACCAATCCTCAATTTGCATAAATTATACAGATCATTGAGGGAAAAGTGTACTGGTTTGTAGCTATTTCTGATCCTCAGTTCAGGTGCTGTGTAGATCTCTTCTATCAGGATCCCAATTCTGGTGGTCTTGATCCTATTCTAAACAGGTTCTCTCCATCCATAGTGGACACTTACCACGAGGACACATCATAAGAAGGATTTTTTTTTTTTAAAGGAGAGCAGAAGAGAATTTTTTTTTAAGATTTTATTTACTCATGAGAGACACACACACACACACACACACACACAGAGAGAGAGAGAGAGAGAGAGAGAGAGAGAGGCAGAGACACAGGCAGAAGGAGAAGCAGGCTCCATGTAGGGAGCTGGACGTGGGACTCCATCCTGGGACTCCAGGATCACACCAGGGGTCGAAGGCAGCACTAAACCGCTGAGCCACCCAGGCTGCCCACAAGAAGGATTTTTATTGCTCATTGTGAATGAAATAAATTCCACGTGTTCTTATGTGAACTCCGTGGTTTTAGAGACAGCTGCTTGAACCAAATCTGGAAGAGCTCTTCCATTTGAGGGAGTGCTTAAGTCACATGTACAACATGTGTAAAGAGTTTGGAAACGGCATCAGAATATGTGCACAATATCTTTGTTGATACAATTTTAAGTCTCATGTAAGCTAATAGGATCTATACAATTCTGGAGACTATTAAGTAAAAATAAATATCTGCCTGTGGAATGGAAACCATCTTCATTTGAACAGTACTCGTTTTGCTTATTTCTATCCCCCAAACAGAAAACATCCAACAAAAACAATTTTATCTATGTTTATTTAATTATAACAAAAGTAGAACAATGCATACCAAATGGAAAAAGAAATCCAAAAAAGATGAAAATGTTTAGAACAGAAATGACTAATTTAGCTGAAAGAATTACCCAAGGGTCATGAAAACACATTTGCAACTTATAATTGGTTATTAATGTAAATTAAATTTAGTAACTGAGTCTCAATTGACTACTAAAAATTATCAAAATATTCTCAAACGGTTACATAAAAACAGACAATATCCATAAGTATTACATAAACACCAAACAAAAAATTCATATGAGAAAAATAAATAAATCTATCCTGAGATAAAATACAAAGCACACTTGTCATGCTAGATATATACACCCTATCCCCTCAATATAATTGTGAGGATTCAGTATTTTGCACATTCCAAGATAAAGTAATGATAATATATGTTGATACAAATTTCAGCCACAAAAATAAAGTACTTCATTTCTTAAATATTCCTACGATGAGACATCAGGACTCCTGTTTCACGCATCAAAACTTTATGAAGGCATAAGTTATGTTTGATTTGACTCCTCAAATCATGGCTGAAAACTCTCAGCAAAGCATTCTAGGCTTTTTATTTCTCACACCAACTGACCCAGAATATATTTTAAGAAATGTTTATTTTCTGTGCATATTTGTTTTAAAATTATAAATTTCTGAGCACTTTTTCTTCTTCCTCTTCATCACTGTCAGTGACATTGACTTGCTGGATGCTAGAGGGAGTTGATGTTGGGGCTGTGAAGACATTCTCCAAGGCTCCAATGTCCAGCTGAGGCATGGGATTTAAGTATTCTTCCCCACTGTGACTATGACTATTATAGTAAGAGGTCCCATCCATGCTCTCACAACTCCGAGAATCTTCACTGTGTGTACGTTCATCTGGGTAGTCTCTAAAAGGATAGTCTCTATTTAAAGCTGAAAACATAGCCTCATGTTTTTGGTACCTGTCTTCATAATAACCAAGGCATTCTGGCATTGAACTTGGAAAATTTCCATAGCCAAAGGGAGGCCGACTATAAGGGCACGTGCTGTAGCAGAAAGACAAAAATTAGAATTAGATCATACCTTGCCCCACCATGCTGCCTTGCATACAGACTAATTGAGCAAGTTTAATAACTGCAACCTCTTTAGGGCCTGGAAATTCCTCAAGATAACTTTCTATAACCACTTCATGTATTCATCTGCTCTTTTACCACTACCAAGTCCCAACATAAAATAAATTAAAAAAAAAAAGGCAAAGTAAGCTTGTGATTCAGCAGAGCTATTATCTACAATCAGCCTCGGACTTCTATCCTTTGACAACCTTGATATAGAAAAATTGCTAATCTGGGCTCTTCTCTCATGACACCATGTAAGGATTTGAAATGCAGGCATGTGTTATACTGTGGTAAAAATGAAGCTTAGTAAAAGCAGTGCAACAATTGTTCTTATTAGTATTTGAAACAAAACTAATGGGGGGATATATAATTAGGTTTGAATTAATAGTTACTCATCAACTGCATTCGTCACAAAACTATAATAAGTAATCCTAAAATTTGTGTGGAACCATGAAAGACCCTGAGTAGCTAACACAATCTTGAGAAGAAGAAAAAAAGCTGGAGGTAACACAATTCCATATTTCAAGATATATTACAAAGCTACAGGAATCAAAACAGTATGGCATTGGCACAAAAATAAAAACGGATCAATAGAAGACAATAGAGAGCTCAGAGATAAATCCTTAATTATATGGTCAATTTACTTATGACAAAAGAGGCAATATACAATATACAATAGGGAAAAGGCTATCTTCAATAAATGGTGCTAGGAAAATTGAACAGCTACGTGTAAAGAGAATGAAACTGGGCCACTTTGAACACCATACATAAACTCAAAATAGATTATAGACCTAAATTTGAGACCTGAAACCATAAAAATCCTAGAAAAGAACACAGACAGTAATTTATCTATTATCAGTCATAACCACATTTTTCTAGATGTGTCTCCTAAGACAAGGGAAACAAAAGCAAAAATAAATGATTGAAACTGTATCAAAATAAAAAGCTTCTGCACAGCAAAGGAAATAATCAACAAAAACTAAAAGATAACCTACTGAATAGAAGAAGATATTTGTAAATGGTACATCCAATAAAAGATTAGTATCCAAAATATAAAAAGAACTTACACAATTCAACACCAAAAAAAAAAAAACCAAAAAATCTGGTTTAAAAATGGGCAGAGGATCTGAATAGACATATTTCCAAAGAAGACATACAGAGGGACAACAGTCACATGAAAAGATGCTCAACATCACTCATCATCAGGGAAATGCAAGTCAAAACCATGAGATATCACCTTATACCTGTAAGAATGGCTAAAGTCAACAAGACAAAAAAAAAATAACAAGTGTGGGCAAGGATGTGGAGAGAAAGGAACCTCATATACTGCTGGTGGGAATGTAAATTGGTACAGCCATTATGGAAAACATCATGGATGTTCCTCAAAAAGTTAAAAGTAGAAATACCATGTGATCCAATAATTCCACTTTGGGGTATTTATCCAAATAAAATGAAGACATTAATTTAAAAAGATATATGTATCTCTATGTTAATTGCAGTATTATCTATAATAGCCAAGAAATGTAAACAACCTAAGTGTCCATCAATAGGTGAATGAATAAAAAAGATGTATTTTATACACACACTGGAATATTCTGCAGCCATAAAAAAGGATGAGCTCTTGCCACTTGCGACAATATAAATAGACCTAAAGGGTATTGGGCTAAATGAAATAAGCCAGACTGAGAAAGACAAATACTACATGATTTCACTTGTAAGTAGAATCTAAAAAAATTAAAAAACAAAAAACAGAATCAGAACTATAAGTACAGAGAACTGATGGTTCTCAGAAGAGACAGGAGTCAGAAATCAGGCAAAATGAGTGAAGGGGAGTGGGAGATACAGTCTTCCAGTTATAAAGTAAATAAGTCACAGGAACAAAAGGCTCCACATAAGGAGTATAGTCAATGACATTGTAAGAGTAATGTATGAGGATAGATGGTAGCTATATTTATGATGAATATAATTTGTACATAGTATAAGTACACATAGTATAATGTACAAACTTATCAAATCACTATGTTATACATCTGAAACTAAGATAACATACTGTGTCAACTATACTCAAAACAAAACAAAACAAAACAAAAAACAAAACAAAACAGCTCCTGGAGCGGGGGCTGTGGTACCAGAACAGAGGATAACTCAACACTCTAATTGACCCTCAATAAGTTCAATTAAAAACATTCTTCCTATCAGTAAGATTTAAAATGGATATTAAATTATGTTTTTAAAGATCTTTTTCAAATAAAATTTTTGCAATGTGAACAGCTGAAAAGATTATTTCGTTGTTTTACAAACTGCTTTTTTTAAGGCAAATCTAAAATTCTGCCATTCAAACCCATCTGTCAATTTTTTTATTTTTTTTATTTTTTTAGAGTATTCTCCCTTTCAAAGGCATAGAATGGGAATCATAGTAAGGGGTATACAAAAGTCCAAACAGGAGTTCCCTGGGCTCATGGACTCCATCTAGTGACAGATAACATAAACATAGCAACCACACAGCAAAACGCACAAGCTGGGGGTTTCACATCACGCTCCTACATTTTTTTTTTATTTATTTATGATAGTCACAGAGAGAGAGAGAGAGAGAGAGAGAGAGAGAGAGGCAGAGGGAGAAGCGGGCTCCATGCACCGGGAGCCCGACGTGGGACTCGATCCCGGGTCTCCAGGATCGCGCCCTGGGCCAAAGGCAGGCGCCAAACCGCTGCACCACCCAGGGATCCCCACATTTTTTTTTTTTAAAAGGTCAACTTTGTTTTCTTCCCTTTAAAAGCATAAGTACCATAGACATCCTAGACTATTATCTCAAACTCTTTGAAAATATGGGGCATTTTGACTAGTTTGGTATCCCATCCCCATATCTCTAAGAGCCAGGGGACATGCCCACATTAAATATCACAATAATAAGGCTAAGGTTCCAAAATGTTTCAGGTTTCCTTTCCTATTGTCACATCTTCATTCAGGCATTTTTAACATAATAGAAACATCCTGAACGTATCATACTTCCAGCTAGTATGACTTTGCTCCTGTAGCTCTTCTACCTTCAGGTCTCTCTATCCACTGAATTACACAGATACCTCTTCCACAAAGCCTACACACTTCAGCTAGAAACAATTCATCCACCATTTTTCAGGACTCAATCAATGTAGGCAAGATATTATGCAAGGCTTGGTGGAGAATTTAATTAAGAAAAAGATCTAGAATCCAGGTATATACTAGACGTGCTAAAGTCTATAATGCAAATTGCAAACACTACATGGCTACACTGGTATGGTAAAAACATGTTATATCCAGAAAACAGATCAATTAAGATATGAGTATTCCTAGAAGGTTGCATGGATGAAAATGAATAACTTTAGAAGCACTGTGATATAGTGGAAAGGCATCAATTAGAATCATTAGAATGATAATATTAGCCAACATATAATAAGAATTTACTATGTTTTCTAGGCATCAGCTATGGACTTTATGTGTTATCTTAACTATTCTTTAGAACAATTGTATGAGACAGATACTATATCTCCACTTTACAGAGGAGGAAACAGAACCTTAAAAAGATTGAGTAACTTGCTCAAAGTCATAATTAGCAAGTAGTGAAACAGAATCAGGCAAGCTAATGCTAGAACTTATTCTCCTAACTACCATGCCACACTACCTGGGAAGTAGTTTTAGCTGTGCCACTTAAAAACCTGGTAACCTTAAATAAACCCAAATTTTTCTGAGCCTTGGGCTCCTTATATAAAACAGAGATAGGGCAGCTCTGGTGGCTCAGCGGTTTAGGGCTGCCTTCGGCCCAGGGCATGATCCTGGAGTCCCGGGATCGACTCCCACATCAGGCTCCCTGTGTGGAGCCTGCTTCTCCTTTGCCTGTGTCTCTGCCTCTCTCTCTCTCTCTCTCTCTCTCTCTCTCTCTCTCTCTCTCTCTCATGAATAAATAAAATCTTTAAAAAAATAGAAAAAAAAATAAAACAGATAATATCACTTGTTCTGCCAACTTAAAAGATCTGTCACAAGGAACTTGAGAAAAGATCTCTATGAATACTTTAGAAACTAGAAATGCTTTTATTTCTTTCTTAAGATTTTATTTATTTATTTATTCATGAGAGACAGACGGAGAGAGGCAGAGACATAGGCAGAGGGAGAAGCAGGCTCCCCGCAGGGAGCCTGATGTGGGACTCAATCCTGGGATTCTGGGATCACTCCCTGAGCCAAATGCAGATGCTATTATTATTTAGTCTTACAAGAAGTTACATGTGATAATATAATCATAAAAACACTCATATGTATATGTTTTACATTTATTTTCAAAGAGAAAGAATGCAAAGATAGAACAAAATCTAGTTGAAGTAGGAGGCAAGATGGAAGAGAAGAGACCGGCAAAGAAGCTAGACTTCTCAGAACGTACTTTGTATTGTAATTTTGACTTTGAAACTATGTAATTACTTTACATAATTTAAAAACAAATGTAATATTTTAAAAAGTAATCTATAAAAATTAAAAGCAAATGAAAACAAATGAACCCAAGTTATATCAAGTTTGTAGTTGCCTTAAATACACAGAGAAACATTATTTCAAGATAATATTGTACCTTCCTGGTAAGACATACCCTAAAGAGAAAAGAATTACAAACAAATCTTAAACTGCATCCTGTAATTTTATTGTTTGTGATATTGCTACTTTGAAACTATTGATATAATTGTCTTGAAGCTATTCTATGTATATACACACACACACATACATCAGAAAAAAATCATGTTTAATAGGATAAAGCAAATATGTTATCATTAGACAACAAATTTTTAAGGGGGGGAGATACTAGCACATAAAATCAAAGAACTTCATTTGAAATTACAACATTACATTTATTTTGGAAATATCAATATATACTCATGAATTATTTTTCTCATTCAAAAAATGCATATTTTCTC